TGGATTGATTCAGTGACTGGGGTAATCGGGATGGGTGTGTCAGAGGCCGTGCCATTGGCACAGGATAGAGCAAGGTTTAGGACTTTTGTACATAGGGTCACTATGAGTCGCAAACGACTCGACGGCACATAAGAACAACAACAACATAATACAGTAATGGACATGAGCATTTTCATATATGCTTCAAGTTCTTTTGAAGAGAAGCTAACAATAAAAAAAAACTTAGCAAATACACTTAAGGGTAAGCGTGCCTTTGGCATATATAATTTTATATGGGTTACGTAGAATAAAGAGCTGTGGAGCAGGGGTGGCTGGCATTTTAATAACCAGAGGTTTCACAGTAGGGCTCTCTGAGGAGATAACATATTTGAAATTTAATTGAAAGATTTAAAACTGTTTTCAAAGAAGTATTCTATTTCTCTACGTAATACTTTTAAAGAATAAGGGCAGATATGTCAGAAATGATCTTTGATATAGAGGAAAAGTTACCTGAGGTTAAAAATCATGTGAAAACTTAAATCAAAAAGTCCTCCACTACCAGCCAAAATGAATAAATAGTATCCTACATATAAAAATCTTTAACTTGAAGTGTATTTTAAACATGTTGAATAAAGTTAAGTGACCATCAGATGAAAACATTAAATGTTGACTTCATTTGTGCATTCACACTCTCATTCATGTTGAGCAGCACTACACTGTGAAAAGGGGTGGGGCCACATCTGCCTCTGAAAACCTGCTGGAGTTATGTGGAGCCATGGGTCGGTCCACAGCACTCAGCAATACACAACAACAACGTACTGTGGATAGAGAGCACTGTCGGCCTAGGACTAAGATGTTGTGCTGCAGTCTCAAAGGCATGCAGTTCAAATCCACTAACTTTTCCATGGGATAAAGATAAACAGTTTCCTCCTGGGCTGTTCACTGTGGACATGCATTCTGCTGTTCACTGTGGACATGCATTCTCGTGGCTTAATGGTAAGGAATTGTGCTGCCAGTTTAGAAGTTTGAGTTCTACTCAGAGGAACAAAGATGGACAGCCTCTTCCTGTGCTATTTATTGCCTTTAAAAACCTGTTGGGGTGTCAGCTATGAGTCAGTTGCAACTCAGTGGTCCACAACAATAGCATGCTGTGGATATAGGTGTAAGCAAGATAGCTATGCTCCCTCCTTTGATAAAGCATACAGAAAAAGCCATAAGCAAATAATTTCTGGTAATGTGAAGTACACAGAGAAAGTCAGACATGTCACTAATAGTATTGGATGAGAGCTGGGCAGGGGCTACTGAACATAGTACAGGGAAGAAAAGCCTTTCAGACAGGACATTTGAAGTGAGACCTGAATGTAGAGAAGGAGCCAGACATGAAACTCTGAAAGTATATAAATATATATTTAATAGAGGGAACAGCAATGCAATAATTTTTTTTGTTTTCTTTTTTCTTTTAATGGGAAAAACATATTGGGGGTACAAGGAGGTGAGGATTAGGGGCAGAAGGTGAGGATGGGCCAGGATGCAGTTGCAGAGCTGCACAGTTTGGTCGGTGGGGGGAGCAGGTGAAGGAAATGATGAGGGTCCAGTGGGGACCAGATGCTACAGAGGAATGACAAGCATTTTCCAATGGTAATTAAACCAACTGTCTTATTGATTTGGGAACTGGATGACGACTCTCTGGCTTCTTCATGCTGAACAGGGGTGTAGATGTAAAGGGGGGAAGGGAGGATGCTTTACACCTTACTGGTGGTCTTGGGTTAAAGCTGCTTGCCTTCTTGTTCTGTTGTTGACCCTCTGCAGTAAGTGCATGAGGTCCTCCTCAGTTCCAGCGAGCAAGGTTGTGTCATCTGCATAACGCAGATTGTTGATAGATCTTCCACCAATCCTAACGCCACACCTCTCCTCATAGAGCCCCGCCTCTCGGATAATCTGCTCTGCATACAGGTTGAAAAGGTATGGAGACAGGACACATCCCTGACGTACACCCTTCGCAATTTTGAACCATGCAGTGTTGCCCTGTTCTGTTCTGATGACTGCCTCTTGGTCCAAGTATAGG